CGGGACGTCCACGGGGAATCACCCGTTGGAACCAATTCCTCCTCCCTACACTCTTCCCCAACGCACATTGCTGTGGCCTCATACCCGGAAGTAGAAGGACCGGAACGGAAAGCAGAAGGGGTGATTCGCAAAAATGCGAGCCGCGAGCGGAGCGTGCCCATGGGCATGTTCTCACACAGAAGACATGCATCATCCACATGAAGAGACGCTGTATCGGCTCCGAAGAACAGAACGAATGAGCTAATGCTGCTCTGGCCTATTTATACCCGGATATCCGGGGCGTGGCCAGCTATGCAAATTTGCTCACCAATTGTCATTGGCCTTTTCTTAATGATGTCAGAGGTGTCTGGGCTCCCAAGTGCAACCCCTAGTGTCGAACTTCGACATAACATCGAAGTGACCTACTGAAAAGGAACCATGATTAATTTGTGGTTACCATGGTTTAACTATAGTAACCATGTTTTGTTTTTTTTTGTTTTTTTAAATAGTAAAACCATGGTTCATATTTTTCTCAGGATTAATGTAAGATGTGTAAAATAATAATAAAAAACTTTTTTTCTAGCTTTTAAAGACTATGGCTTTAATATGTGTAATGTGTCTCTCAAATTATCTGCAGACCCCCAAGTACCCTCTTCCATGGGTGTCCAATTTTAATGACAAAGACATAAATTAAGTGATATTCACTGAACACATAATTTTGTATAAGAGCACATCTGCCAGGAAAATAAATGCAAATGTGAGACTGGGCTAATTGAAAACAGAAAAAAAAAAAAAATGCAAATGTGAGATAGGGCAGATTGAAAACGGTTCAGTTGACCTTTTTAGATCGCTTTTAATGAGTAACCATATGTTCTTGGGGTGATATTAATTTTGTTTGTTCCAAAATAAATCCTATATCTTATTGAAATCACTATAATGAAATTGCATGGTAAATTATCTATCCCGATAGCTGGTCATTGCTATTTTAAGTTTAAGAAACAGCAATTACAACCCAAAACTGCAAAATATGCCTAAATGTGCTTTTTTTGAAAGTCTGGTGACACTATAAAGTTTCAGAAAAAAAGTAATGTCATGAGTATCTAAACTTCTCCTAACTTAATTTGCAATGACTCCAGACAGTGTTTATGGTACTTTGCATGACCCTGTAGTCAATGGGGAAAACTACAACTCTAATTATGTTATGCTGTGTACGTAAAACACATCAGGGTCTAAGCTAATTGCAGCTTTCAAGCTGCAAGCTGTGGAATTTTGTACAATCACTAAGAGATTTGGATATTTTTGCTGGACTCCAGTATAAAGTGACGTGACATGTGGCCAAGTATGGTTACCCATACTAGGAATTAGTGCTCTGCATTTAACCCATCCTTAGTGCACACACACAGCAGTGAACATACACACCGTTGGGGAAGTCGTGGCCTAATGGTTAGAGAGTCGGACTCGTAACCTAAAGGTTGCGGGTTCGAGTCTCCTACCGGCAGGGATTGTAGGTGGGGGGAGTGACTGTACAGCGCTCTCTCCCACCTTCAATACCACAACTGAGGTGCCCTTGAGCAAGGCACCGGACCCCCAACTGCTCCGCAGGCACCGCAGCAAAAAAATGGCTGCCCACTGCTCCGGGTGTGTGTTCACGGTGTGTGTGTTCACTGCTGTGTGTGTGCACTTTGGATGGGATAAATGCAGAGCACTAATTCCGAGTATGGGTCACCATACTTGGCCACATGTCACGTCACTTTCAGTAGTCTCTTACACAGAGCCTCTACAGGGCTCATGTGTCAGAGACCTCTTGTATGTGCTGCCTCTGATGAGTAGCAACATTATGTTCCAAAATAAAAGATAATACGGTTGCTGCAAACCTCAGTTGCCCCAACAGCATATCACAGATGGTGATTCAGAACACATATTACATAATGTGAGTTAAAAACATCAGTTATCATCATAAATGAGTTCATAAAAAGTGAGTTTTCACAAAAATAGACAGCAAAATTGGATAAAAAGATTTTCATGCCATGTAAGAATCATTCAAATGGAAATGGGCAAAGTTTGCACTGTTGGTAAGCAGTGGTTGCTGAACTTTTAAATTGATTACTTTCAGGTGGTTTTAGATGGTATTTTTAGATGAATGCTGCATAGTAACCTTAAAAAATATTTAAAAGGAACTTCATGTAAGATACATCTGACATTCCTTAGCATAAAACAGTGTAGCATAGAAAAGTAGCTACATATAGGTCAAAAATGGACAAAATCATTGGTGTGGTCACACTTACAGTGTAATTACACAAATAAGTACTAAGCACTAATTAACAACATGTACCTATATATTTAATGTTAAGTTTGGTTTAGTGTTAGTCGCTAGTATTTATTTATTATTTACTCTTATTACTATAGTAAATACATGTAACGTGTAACAAGAACACTTTAGTGTTACCTTAGTTTTATCACCATACACTCTTAAACATAGGTTCCAAAATGGGGTTTTCACAGCAATGCAATCAAAGATACATTTTGGGTTCCTTAAAGAATCTTTCAGTGAAAGTTCTTAAAATAACCACTTTATCTTAGTGTAAAGAATATTTCAATAATCTAAAAAACCTTTTTCCACTACAAAGAACCTTTTGTGCAATGGAAAGGTTCCATGGATGTTAAAAGTTCTTTATGGAACCATAGATGCCAATATATATTTTTTTTGTAGACAAGATTAATGTTCTCAAAAGAGCTCATCTTGTTTTAGGAACCAGGGTTAAACAATACTCATATACACACTGAACTGATCTACATCTAAGGCCAGGTACATTGTATGGAGATGTGTTATAGGCCAAATAACACTGTACTATAAAAGGACATCATATCATATCATTAACACATCTTGTTTAGCTACTAAACTGCTGCTGACCTTATAGAGCTTGAGCTGTACCTCTCATACTGTAATCTAGACAGTTGCTGGATTTATCCAAGGCCTTATCACTGGGCAGAGAGGCTGGCACGGCAACACCGAGGTGTGTGGCACTGCCAGCCCTGCGTACGTGTGATAATCAGCCTAACCTGTGCACTTATGGTGGCATCCATGGTTCTGTCTTCACATTCTCTTGTTGTATTGATGGTATGAACTATCAACGCCGTGAAGCCCAAGAAGTTGGGTTTCCCTCTGGTCCACAATTGGAACAATCAGCTAGAAATGCTTAAACGGTTAGTGTATCATTGAAATTAGTATCTCTCTGATTGCTTTAACATATTGAGACTATATTTGGCCAGTGCATCTGACATTGCCTTGTGTTCAAGTTTAAATCACACTGAAATATGCATCAAGACATTAACTTTGAATGACTTTCATTTTCCACTGCAAAACCACTCCTGTATTTGAATTGTTTTGCAAAGGTATTTGCATTGTCAAAATAACTGTCAGTGGCATGTTTTGTTAGTGGTGCCTTTTATTATACAGAGATGGCATAATATCATTTAGACTGTGGAATAAGCATTAATCCTGTCAGTTTTGTTGTACAGGAAGTGTACATGAAGGGGAAAAAAAAATCATTAGCAATATAGAATGGTCATGGCTTTTGTGTAGCCTAATTATAAACTATATCCCCTGGAAATAATAATCACAGCCACGGATAAATGACGCAATCTCCATTTGCAATCTGATCATGGGAATTCAAGTGTTAACTGACGACCGGCATACGATTTCGGCTCCTTAGCCATACGGAAATCTTAGTACCCATGGGAGAGACAGATGAGAATGGGCAAAGTTTGGAGCAAACAGGTGTTGGGACTCACCATCTCATTGTAAACCATCAGCCGCAGTGATGAAAGCCTTCCAGAGTTTCCTTCTATTCCTTCACTGTGTCACTAAGCAACTGTACAGTATCACACACAGGCCTCTGCTCATAGCCAGAGGGATGGAGAAAAGCCAGGGTGGGGCAGGGAAATCCAAAGGACATGATGGAAAGCCAAAACCTACAAAACATACTGTTTTCTTTGCAAATATTCAGGCAAAACTCAAATATAGCATTCTGTGGGTCTGTAAGTATTATATAAGAAAAAAATTGCATTCTTGGCGCTCAAAAAGTAAAGCATGGCACCAGCAATGCTAAGGTCATGGATTCAGTTCATAGGAAACGAATGAAGTGAACAATTAAAAGAACTTCTCAAGTGGTTCTCATACTTTTAAGACCACCTAATCACCATCTTACAAAAGCCTAAGAAAGTCTAATGATGGCATGACCTTAAATTTGAAACACAGCAACACATAGCACAAGAACTTGGTTCAACAAAGCTAATGTTTGCAAAGATTTGAGTAGCACTTACATTACATTAAAAACTTCTAACCCAAATTCAAACAGTACACAAATCAAAATTGCATTATTTAATTTGCTTTTGTGCAAATTTAATATCTTGCACATGGAATGAAAGGCACAGAATGGATTTTTAGGGCATGAATGATTGAAATAAGATGGTGCTTGTCCAAAATTTAACATTCAGAACATGCTAATTTCTTGTTTGATCACTTTGAACTTTGCAGTGTATATATTGAATAGATCAGCAATGCTGATCATTAGCATATGTTGTGTTTTGGATGGGAAGCTAGTGTGTCGGCATCCCAAAAGGCTTTAGAACTAGAACTTTAGAACCAGCAATACGTCCCTCATCACCCAGCATGGTATTTTGGGTGGAACTTCTTTTGCTGACAAAAGAAGTCTTGTTGGTTAACGTTCTGGTCTAAGATGGTATTTACAGTTTAAAATACAACTTTAGGATGAGAATGTGAGTGTCCTATATGCTGTAATCATTAGATTCGCACCAGTTCGAGAAAATACATGCATGGCTCCACTATGGATTGAGTGGAGATATATGTTTACTGTTACATACAAGTGTGCACTGTGAAGTACTGGCTTAGTAGTGCCTATGTATTTATAGTGCCTGATAAAGTGTCCAACCCATTTCAATCACCTCATTGCCCCTTCCAAAGTGGGAGTATTCCAATAAAGAGGAGCACAGGAGTCACTCCTCCATCTCTCTTTCAAGAACCAAAGACGCAGAGCACAGCACATCACTGCACAGGACAGGCAAGGCTCTTCTCTTCTCTTCTCTTCTCTTCTCTTCTCCACAGGAGTCACTCCTCCATCTCTCTTTCAAGAACCAAAGACGCAGAGCACAGCACCTTCTCTTCTCTTCTCTTCTCTTCTCTTCTCTTCTCTTCTCTTCTCTTCTCTTCTCTTCTCTTCTAATTCCACCTGCTTTAGCCTGTTACTTTATATTAACATCTAGAAAGCTGCACTGAAGCTGAAATCTGCAACTTCTCAATCTGCACTAAAATTTCAGAATCTTTTTTCAAATTTTCTGATTATTTTTTCATCTGTCCATGCACAGATGGTTTACTTTCAGGCATGACATTTCCCATGCTTGTGTGTCAAATACTTTTCTCTGCACCACAATTTAAGTTTATAGTGGTAATTACATTACAACACATTAGAAATGATATAAGTGCATCAGTCTAAGGATTTTTGTGGAAAGTATTTTAAAATTGACATGATTACAAAATGATTACTGAAGCAAAATGATTACTTTTGTCTGTATTTTTAAATGGATGTGGTGTCCATCCTCTAGGTTTAAGATTTATACCTCAAACAGTGTTTTAGTACTGGTATGAAAAGTTTGGTTGTCTTTCTTTTGGTTCCTAGTAGTTATGGCAAAAATAAATGTGTCAGGCATCTCCACAGCCACCTGACATTCCTTTATCCAGTTATGGCTGAAAGGTTACACACACAGAGACCTTTTTGTAGTCTTTAATTAGCTGCACATTTCACTTTATCACTCTTGGTTTAATTGGAAATGAGTGGGTTGGTTTAGGGCTTCATTAAGGTTCAAAAGTAATTCACATGACAAAAGATTCTCCAGCTAAGCTCCTCCTTGTGTCAGTCTTATTTAATCCCCTTATGTGTATATCTGTCTGTTTGAGACTAAGGAGACTGAGGGAGATATGTCTCTTTATTGATAGTAAGGGACACACTGGGGACAGCTGGAACCACTGAGACTTGTCTTGATCTGGTGCCCAGTGTTGGTGCCAGCCAGCCAGGCTGAGGACACAAAGAATCCATTCAGATTCAATTCAGATCCATTCAGACACTCACTGGACATTTTATTTCCAAACTGCCACGATTTGTACAATAAACAGCGTATTAAAACACTTATACCCTAAAGAAAATAAAATATGTACTTTGGTTAAAACCAATTTTCAAAGGATTTTTCAACATTTTTGAAAAAAAAAAAAAAAAAATGCAATCTTAATGCAAAGGTAATAATGGTTGAACGCTGAATAGTGAAGAATAGTCAGCCTGGTCTCATGTTTATACGTAGGTATTAATACGTAACATTTACAAGCACAAAACGTACACTTTTGTACGTTTTTATTAATGCTAAAACGTACAATTTAGACGTATTTCAACGTTTAAAATGTACAAATCGCTACGTATTTAGCTAAAAAAAAACAAAAAACAAAACAAACAAGTAAAAATATTAACAATTACAATCATTTATTTATTGCAAAAATGTCAAAAGCAGTACCAAAAGTAATCCAAATGACAATGCGTTGCACCCGCAATCCTCTCTGGCGGAATACAGAAGGTTTGTGTTATCCAGAGCAGAATTTTTGTTAATCGCTGAAAATATTATCCAGATAATTTTCCCGGATCCAC